CATGAGAAGAAGATTAACATTTAACAGGGTGAGAGGTGGGAGGGAAAAGGAAAGAGAAGGGAAATTGCATGGAAATGGAAGGAGACCCTCAGGGTTATACAAAATTACATACAAGAGGAAGTGAGGGGAAAGGGAAAAAAAACAAGGGGGAGAGATGAATTACAGTAGATGGGGTAGAGAGAGAAGACGGGAAGGGAGGTGATGGGGGATAGTAGAGGATAGTAAAGGCAGCAGAATACAACAGACACTAGTATAGCAATATGTAAAACAGTGGATGTGTAACCGATGTGATGGTGCGATCTGTATACAGGGTAAAAATGGGAGTTCATAACCCACTTGAATCAAAGTGTGAAATATGATATGTCAAGAACTATGTAATGTTTTGAACAACCAACAATAAAAATTAAAGGAAAAAAAAGAAAATAAAAAAATAGTAAAAAAAGAAAAGAAAAAATGGTAACTATGTAAGTTATTGATTATGTTATTTAATTTGACAGTACAGTCATTGCACATTGTATATGTTTGTCAAAACATCACATTATGTTTCCTTTAAATACAAATAAAAATTTATTTGTCAATCATACCTCATTAAAGATAGGAAAAAAGCAAAATAAATAAAAGCAAAGATAATTAAATAGAAAATATTTATATTTCTATAAAATAGAAAGTATTTATGTTTGAAGAATGAAGCAGTGCCAGGTCTTGAAGGTTATAGTACTATTAGCATTTTTATATGTTATCTATGGGGAGAGGGCTAGTGAAAGATTTCCAGATAGACACATAGTGTGATTTACAACTTAAAAGTTCGCCCTGGATATTGTATGGCAGAGATAAAATGGGTGAAGCCAGACTGAAGCACAAGCTCCAAAGATGGTGTTTTCTTATAATGAACAGCCCCGATGGTGGTGTGGACCAGTTTGGTAGCAGAGCTTATGTATATCAATAGATGGTTTTGAGGTGGAACAGTGAAGGACAGAGAAGGAAGAGGCCTCTTGATATCTTCCTGGTTTCTTAGGAAGGCGACCGAGTAGAGGCATTTTTCAGAACAGGGAAAGACTATAAAGAAGGAGCCAAGTTTAGAGGGGCTTTCTAAGAACAACTAAATAAATGACTTGCTTGAACTATTTTCCTTTCCAAAATTATGATTTTCCATAATTCTAGATCTATATGAAGTAAGCATATAATATGCAAAACATTTTTATAATGCAGATTTAAGGGCTTCCTCTTTTCCGCTATTGAATGATTTTCTTCATTAATGCAATTTAAGAGATAAAGCTGTTTCTTTATTCATCCAGCTTTTTCTCATTAATTTTTAAATAATTTTAAAAACAGGAAACTATTTTAAATGCAGGAAAAGGGCAACAAGAGAGAAAACAGCCTATGTATGAGAAAGAAAGATAAGATATATTTAGCAAATTTTATTTGATGAGCTTCAATACTAGTGAATCTTACCTCTGTCTCTACTGTAGTTATTTTTAGTTACAGCCTCTGTAGCCTATCAAAATAAAATTATTAATCATTTATAAGTGGCATCAGACTACTTGGAAATAAAAACATATTCCAATCTTCTAAGCATTGAATTATCTTCTTGTGAAAGATATTGAGCTTATCTGCTGATTCTTTTTACTATACTTTTCCCAATAATTTTTTATTGCATCGTTTGCATGGCCAAATGGTAGTTTATTTCCTTCTCAAAAAAATGACTGTAACATTTAAAAGTAAATCATGATTGCAATTTCTTTTTCTTCCCTATCAAAATGCGTTAGCACAACAAAATCATTTATAGGGCATATATTTTCCATGATGTTGCACAATATTCTTTTATTTGTAAATGACAAAAACATAAAGCTAAACATAAAAAACAAATTCAAACTTATTTAAACCCAGTTCATGAATAGTATGTTGGGAATATTTTACAGAACTTTAGGGCAGGAAATAGAAGTGGTCCTCAAAAGATTTTGGAGCTATAGAGTGAAAAAATCATCGTAATTGGGTTATCCCTCTGTTGTTTGTCTCTATTTCTCTTTCTCTCCCTACGGTGCCCCTCTCTCCTTCTATCTCTGTGTACTAGCGTGATTTACTTTTATTCTCATGTGCATTTTCATCTCAAACTTCTCTTGGGGCACACATCTTTGTCTTTTTCTCTCCACTGATCTGCTTTCACTGTTTGACTACACCCATAGTCAAAAAAGGCTTAGCTTCTACTTCTGCCTGTACTTGTGTTCAACTCAAACCGCACAAGCAACCCTACCATTTTTTTTTTGTTTGTTTGTTTCTGGGCAAGAGAACCTGTTTTCCCAGTAGGGTCAGTAACTACCATAAACTTGTGTGGTTAAGAGAAAGAGCAAGAAAGCTCTCATTTAATAAAACAGACATGGAATTTATGTTATGTAAATGTGTGTTTTCAGTAAATATGCTCCTGATTATGAAGCACAGAATAATAGAGTAATACTGAGAAATGACATACCTTCATAATAAGATATAAGAAGAGGTATAATTATGTAGATTTTTGCTCCTTGTTTTAATAACAGTAAACTATCATATTTGTTCATAACAGCCACTCCCAATCAGACACTATTCCAAGCACGCTCTCTCTTCAGCCCCCTTTTACCCCTGCACTACACACAAACATACACACACTTTTGATTTCTAAACTCTATGGGGTAAATATTATTATCATTCTCCTGATACAGAAAAATGAAAATAAGAAGGGGTGAGTATGCTGATCAAGGTTACACATCCAGGAAAGAGGAAGCAGATCTAGGATTAGCATCCAGGTGTTGGTTTTGTGGGCTTAATCCTTGGGCCTATCTGCCTCCTGAATGTGGTGTTTTGATCATAAAGGCCCATCATCATTTGAAAAAAATGAAACTGACAAGAGTTATTTCCTTTTCCAGAAAATCATCACTTGAAGTTTCTCCTGCAAGGTTTTTCTTTGTAAGTTATATTTTCATGTAAGTTATATGTGCTTATTCGTTCTTGGTTTCATTTCTTCTCTCAGACATTCATGTTGTTTCTCTCTCACTGATATTTACTGAATTTTACAAACACCCGCAGTATCTGTAATGAGGGTACCATGCATATGTTGTTTTTCTTCTTTTCAAAAATAAAAAAAAATTAAGAAAAGGAAATCTGCACCATTTTTTGGTTAACCTACCAGACACATAGCAAAACACCAACTTTATTACTTTTTAAATTTTTTATATAGTCCTGTAACTATTTTTTTTTTGTCAGTACATTCTTGCAGAGCCAAGTGAGTTTAGATAAATCCACTACTGAGGGTTGAAAAAAAATTTAAGTTGTTTTTAGATTTTGTCTAAACTCATATAGACTGGTAGTCATAAATCAAAAACTGAAGGGAAAAATAACCTTATGATACTTTAAACTGTATGTTTAATGGAAGTCAGATAAGTGATATTGTCCTTCAATAATCTATCCAAGTTTATTGCATTTCTACAGAAACTGCTAGAAAACTAATTCAGATAAGGCCTGTTATGATTTGATCCTGATTATAACTGTTATTTTTTTCCTGATGATTTCATAAATGGATTAAGAAATTGAGGTTTATTTTTGTTGTAGTTTCATCAGAACTTTATAATCTGAAACAAAAATACACTAAGAAACCTCTGGATTTTTATCCTGGCCCCATTAAATTGTTCATCAATAATTAAGCTTTAAGAGGAAAATCACCTGACCCCTCCCACCAAAATGTTATATTTAATTTTTATCCCAGAAGATTGGGTACCCATTGGCGTAAATAAAAGGGGCAAACACAAGTTTGTGCATCACAAAGAATTTATTTTTCCAATGGTTTAATACTTTCACTTTTTGAGTCAGGTTTTAAACTTTTAAATGGTTAAGACCCCTTTCCAAATTTTAAAAAGAATTATAAACAATTTAAAAAGCAACCTTTTTATGCATTTAGGCAACTCCTGTCTTCCCCTCCATGCCCAGTCCAATCTCAATGCTCCAACTTGAGAATTGTGATATGAAGCTTGGTGGCCACCAGGACCCTCTAGACTCCCCTCTGTTGACCATTGTCATTTTCCCCCTCAGGAGAGGGCAAAGTGCAAGGTGACAGATAAGGGGACTCAAGACTGAGCCCACCACAGAAATTCTAGGAGAGTGAGGGTTCATCCCTAGACATGAAAAAATATATAGGAACAACTGAAAAAAGGGGCCACTTCTTTTGCAAGAGGCAGCTACACCTATAAATATAATTCAAATAATTGAATATTATATGCAGGGGGTCAGTGGCCATGCGCTGAACTATCCTGGGTTACAGGTTTACTACTGGATAACTGAGATGGCTCCGCAAACACATGATAGACCTGGTAATATCTGAGTTCAGACCCTTCCACTTCTGAAAACCTGTAACGGAGGCAGAGGAGAGGAATTCTATCATTGCAGAATTAATCTCTACTCCCTCCTGCATTGCTCATCACTGAGACCTATGTTGTAAGCATCTTTCCGGAAGCAAGGTCAATTATACGAGCGAATAATCTTGGCCAATTACGCGATTAAGAAATTGTCTGTAGACATAAGGCATTGGCTTACAAGGTTTCTTTTTACTGGAGTCCATCTGAACAGTTTCTAAGATTACTAAATTTTAAGCATTTGTCAGGACAACCTACATGCCAAATTACATCCCGAGCTCCCCGTTGACAATGCGAATGCGGGTGACATCCAAGGTGGTGGAGTCACAGCCAGGAGTTCTGGGCGCTTTGGTTCCCCTAGACAAGGTTGGGCGTGGTTTTCTGCGCGGAGGCTGCAAGGCTGGGAGGAGGAGTCTAGGAGCGGGAGTATGCAAAGGCTCTCTTCGCTATTCCGGGAAAGGACTGGTGGTGCCCCAGAGAAAGGAAGACCAGCTTTGGGAAAAACTGAGTAGTCAGGGACTGAACAAGCTTGGGAGTGAAAGGCTGAGACCCGAGGCGGCCCATCCTCCTGGCACCCGCCGCCCCGGCGTTGAGACGCCGGTGGCCCTACCCGCAGCAGCTGGGATGCCCGGCGAAGCTTGGGCGCTGGCGGTGGCGCTGGTGCTCCTGGCCCGGGCGCAAGGTCAGCCAGGTAGGTCGCTGGCGGGTGGGAGCGCAGGGGCGCTGCCTGCGGGTGAGAGCTGGCTTCTAGGATAATGGGAAGAAAGTATGGGGGCATCTTGGTGGATGTCTGAGGTCCACTCCTCACTGTCCAATCCTCCATTCTGTCCCACCTCTGTCTTTGAGGCGGCCACTTTACAGCATGGTACCTTTCGGTTTTAGTTTGGGCCCAGGCCAGTGTTGCCTCCTCTTTTTCTTTTGGACTCTCGGTTCTGTTTTTTGTTTCTTCTTTTCCTGATGTTACTCTGCTTAAATTCCTTTTAACTTGATGTAAGAATCTTTCGCTGACTGTCTGGTACCCTGCAGGGAAGTGGATAGAATTATCAGAAGAATTAAATTCCAAACCACACGATTTCCACCCCACAACTATCCTCATCCCCGGAATAATTAATTGGTGAATATTGTATTTCTGTAGTAAATCTCTAAGCTAAGTTTTGTGTATGGTATTTTTCATGTTATCTGTCAGAATCAGGCTTCCTACTGTAAAAGAGATCTTTATAGAAAGAGTATCCCTTCTCACTTATTTAACCTATGACTAAGAAAACAGCTTAAAATACCTCGAAGTTAAACTGATATAAAACAAAGCCACGTTCTTTTGCTCTTCCTGTTTGTTTTTAATGTTCCAAAGTACAAATAGGAACATTAAATGAAAGATGACTTTCTCTTTATTATAAGTTCTCTCATGTTTTTCAGAAGTAAACTGATCTATACAAAACTCTCTGCACCTTGGGGCTGGGGGGAGGAGGCCATGTGTAATATTTACAACCGTTTACCGTGTCATTTTCTTCTTATCTTGCTGATCTTAATCAGTTTTACTAATATAAGTTTGCTTTGTAAAAGGAAGGGGCATGCATTCTCTCATGTAAAATTTTTAAAAGAATATTAGAACCCAATGTATTCATTATTTTCTGAAGTAATAAAGGTTAAAACTGGCCTGAGCCTTCTTTGGTTTACTTACAGATTTTCTGTCTTCATGAAGGACTATTCTTAAATTAACACATAATAATTTTACATATGTAGATGGTACTATGTGACAATTTACTACATGCATAAAATATCAAATGATCAAATTTGAGTAGTATTTCCATCTCCTTAAATATTTATCATTTCTTGGCGTTGAGAACATTTGAACTTCTAGTTCTTCATAAAATTTGAACTATAGTCACTCTACTGTGCTGTAGAACATTAGGACTTACTTCTTTTGTGAAACTGTACTTTGGTACCTACCCAAGCAACCTCTATCCATCTTCCCCCCTGCCTTTCCTAATTTCTAGTAACACTATTATAAATAATATTTTAAGCACATTTACACTAATAACATGTTAAATATGCATTTATTACAGTTAGATAAAATATTTCTCAACAGCATGACCAATATTAATCAAGGAAGATGCTTTCATGCTTTACTTCTCGATCATATAACCCCTATTGACTCTGTATAGTAACTTTGTAATCTCTTTGCAGAAGGTAAATATTATCTTTTTCCAGGTCATATCAAGAACATATCATGATAAAGTTAATAATTTATTTTAGTAGTCTAGAAATAGAAGAGGTGAATAAAAATATTTATTGATTTTTTTCAAGCAGCTTTACTAAGCTATAAATCATATATAATTTGCTCCCTTAAAGTGTACACTTCTATGACATTAGTATGTTCACAGATATGTGCAACAATTACTATAGGCAACTTTAGAACAACTTTATCAATTAAGAAAGAAATAAATACTGGACTGTTAGCTGTCAAGTCCCTATATCTTCCATCAGTCTACCTAACCTCCCTGTCAAAAGTAATTGTTATTGGGATATCTCAATTTATTTGCCTCCTCTTTTTATTTTGTATAAATGGAATCACACAATTAGCTGTATTTTGTGTCTGGCCTCTTTAACATGGATTAACATTTTCAAAGATTACATTCATGTTGTAGCATGTGTCAATATATTTCTTTTTAAGATGGAAATATATTCCATTGTGAGAATGCACTACATTTAAAAAATTTGTTTATTTTTATTTGTTCTTTTTAGATGTATCATGCATACATAGGATTATATATGTATAGTATTATACACACATAGTAATTTGTATCTGTGATACATATATTATATATAATTATGCATAATTATTTATATTATGTGCAATATTATATATAATATATAATATAGTATTATAACAGTATACATACATAGTAATATGTATGTAATTGGTGTATTTTGACATATTATACATACATGGAGTATAACTTATTCTAATTAGGATCACATTCTTGTGGTTTTTGTGATGTGGAACTTCACTGATTATGTATTCATAGATGAACATAGGAAAGTTATGTCTGATTCATTCTACTGTCTTTCATATTCCCATCTCCCACTTCCCTTCATTCCCCTTTGTCTAATCCAATGAACTTCTATTCTTTCCTCCCCTGATTATTGTGTGTTAGCATCCATGTATTGGAGAGAACATTCGGCTTTTGGGGTTTTAGGATTGGCTTATTTCCCTTTAGCATGATAGTCTCCAGTTCCATCTATTTACCTGCAAAAGTCATACAGTTATTCTTTGTATGGCAGAGTAATATTCCATTGTGTGTATATATATACATGCACCACATTTTATTTATCCATTCAGAAAATGGCATCCAGATTTGTTCCATAGCTTAGCTATTGTGACTCAAGCTGCTATAAACATTGATGTGGCTGCATCACCATAGAATGCTGATTTTAAGTCCTTTGGGTATATACCAAGGTTTGGGATAACTGAGTCAAATGGTGGTTCCATTCCAAGTTTTCTGAGGAATCTCCATACTGCTTTCCAGAGTGGTTGCCCCAAGTTGCAGTCCCATCAGCAGTGTATCAGCGTACCTTTTCCCCAACATCCTTGCCTACATTTATTGTTACTTGTATTCTTGATGATTGTCATTCTTAATGGAATAAGATGGAATCACAGTGTAGTTTTAATTTCCATTTCTCTAATTGGTACAAATGTTGAACATTTTTTCCAATATTTTTTGATCATTTATATTTCTTCTTCTGTGAAGTGCTTGTTCAGTTCCTTTCCCCATTTATTGAGTGGGTTATTTGTTTTTTGGTGTTAAGTTTTTTGAGTTCTTTATATATTCTGGTATATATGCAATATATATATATATATATATATATATATATATATACACACACACACACATATATACACATATATTTAGAGAGAGAGAGAGAGAGAGAGAGAGAGAGAATTTTTTTAATATTTATTTTTTACTTTTCGGCGGACACAACATCTTTGTTTGTATGTGGTGCTGAGGATGGAACCCGGGCCGCACGCATGCCAGGCGAGCGTGCTACCACTTGAGCCAAATCCCCAGCCCTATATGCTATATTTGAGATGCAGATGGCAAAGATTTTCTCCCATTCGGTAGGCTTTCCCTTTACATTATTGATTGTTTCCTTTGCTGTAAAGAAGCTTTTTAGTTTGAAATCATCCCATGTATTGAGTCTTGATTTTACTTCTTACGCTTTAAGAGTTTTGTTGAGGGAGATGATTCCTAAGCTGTAACAATGGATTTGGGCCTACATTTTCTTCTAGTAGGCACAGAGTCTCTGTCTATTGCCTAGGTCCTTGATCCACTTTGAGTTGAGTTTTGTGCCAGGTGAGAGATAGGGTTCGATTTCTTTCTAATACATATTCATATTCAATACAGTTTTCCCAGCACCATTTGTTGAAGAGGCTATCTTTTCTCCAATGTATTTTTTTTGGAGAGGGGATACTTGAAATTTAACTGAGAGGCACTCAACCACTGAGTACACTCCCAGCCCTATTTTATGTTTAATTTACAGACAGTGTCTCACTGAGTTGCTCACCTTTGCTGAGGCAGAATTTGAACTCATGATCCTCCTCTCTTTTTTTTTTAATTTATTTTTTTTTAAAGAGAGAGAGGGAGAGAGAGAATTTTTAATATTTATTTTTTTAGTTATCGGCAGACACAACATCTTTGTATGTGGTGCTGAGGATCGAACCCGGGCCGCACGCATGCCAGGCAAGCGCACTACTGCTTGAGCCACATCCCCAGCCCATGATCCTCCTCTCTCAGACTCCTGAGTCGCTGGGATTACAGGCATGCACCACTGTGCCCAGCCTCCAATGTACTTTAATGGCACCTTTGTATGGTATGAGATAACTGTATTTATATGGGTATGCCTATGTGTCCTCTATTCTTTTCCATTGTTCTTCATGTCTGCTTTTGTGCCAATAACTGCCATTTTTATAGACGATAATCAGAAACTACTTTGAAAACTGTATTCCAATAAAATAGAAAATCATGAAACATTAACAAATTTCTAGAGACATATGGCCTACCCAATTGAATCAGGAGGACATTCACAATTTTAAAAGATCAGTTTCAAGCAATGAAATTGAAGATATCATCAAAGGCTTACCAATAAAGAAAAGCTTAGGACCAGAAGGATTCTCAGCCAAGTTCTATCAGACCTTCAAAGAAAAACTAACATCAATCCTCCTCAAATTATTCCATGAAATAGAAAAGGAGGGAACCTGTCCAAACTCATTCTATGAAGCTAGTATCACCCTGATACCAAAACAAGACAAAGACACATCAAGGAAAGAAAACTTCAGATCAATAGCCCTCATGAACATAGATGCAAAAATTCTTAATAAAATGCTGGCAAGTCATTTACAAAAACACATTAAAAAGATAGTTCATCACAATCAAGTGGGGTTCTTCCCAGGGATGCAAGATTGGTTCAACATTCAGAATAATCAATAAACATAATTCATCACATCAACTGACTTAAAGACAAGAATCACATGATTATCTCAATAGATGCAGAAAAAGCATTTGACAAAAATAGAGCATCTATTCATCTTCAAAATACTAGAAAAACTAGGGATAGTAGGACTATACTTCCACATAGTAAAAGCTATCAATGCCAAGTCCAAGGTCAACGTCATTCTAAATGGAAAAAAAAAAAATTGAAAGCATTCCCTCTGTAAACTGGATCAAGAAAGGATGCCTCTTTGACCATTTCTATTCAACATAGTCATGGAAACCTTAGTCTGAACTATTAGACAAAAGAAAGAAATTAAAGGGATATGAATAAGAGCTCAAATTATCCCTATTTGCCAATGACATTTCTTTATTTAGAAGAGCCAGAAAACTTCATAGCCCTCATGAACATAGATGCAAAAATTCTTTACAGACAGTAAATAATTTACAAAAAGCTTCTAGGACTCATAAACGAATTCAGCAAAGTAGCAGGATATAAAATTAATACCCATAAATCAATTGCATTCCTATACACCAATGACGAATCAGCTGAAACAGAAATCAGGAAAACTATCCCATTCACAGTAGCCTCAAAAAATAATAAAATTCTTGGGAATCGACCTAACAAAAGAAGTGAAAGACCTCTACAGTGAAAACTACCCAACAATATAGAAAGAAATTGAGGAAGACCTTAGAAGATGGAAAGATCTCCCATGTTCTTGGATAGGCAGAATGCATATTGTCAAAATGGCCGTACTACCAACAGCTCCATATAGATTTAATGCAATTCCTATTAAATTTCCAATGACATTTTTCACAGAAATAGAAAAAGCAGTCATGAAATTCATTTAGAAAAAACAAGAGGCCCAGAATAGCCAAAGCAATCCTTATCGAGAAAAGTGATGAGGGAGGCATCATCAGACATTAAATACTACAGAGTTACAGTAACAAAAACGGCAGGATTTTGGCACAAAAACAGACAGGAAGACTGTTTTTCTGCCTGCTGTTCTCTCCTTTCCTCCTGCTGAGGAAAGGAGCTTTGTGTTCTGCCTATGTGGAATTTGGCAGAAAAAGTATCTTCCAGGTCAAGCAAAGACTGCTCAGAAAACAGGTTCCCTAGAAGAACATCAGAACTGTTTCTTCCTCCATGTTCTTGTTTCTTCTTCCAACCTTCTTCTTTCAACCATTCATTTTCTTGTGCTTCATTGTAAAATGGTACTTTCAATATTTCAATAGGATGGACATAAGGAAGAAGATGGGGGGGCAAACAGGAGGGAAGGAAAGACCGAAAGAAGATGGGCAGGCTGGAGAGGTTGCTCAGTTGTTGGGGATGTACTCAATAGTAGAGCCCTTGCCTAATTTGAGCAAGGTCCTGGGTTCTATCTATCCCCAGGATGGGGGTTGGAAGGAGGAAGATTGAACTTTAAAACTATATTCCTTCCTGTACCAGGTGCTTCACAAATTGCAAAAATGGAATCGACATTAAAAGATTAGTTCACTTTATTGCATTTCAGGATCTGGCAGAGGTAGGATTTGGGATTTTTGTATTTACTTTGGAAGAAAGCTGTTTGTGGAGGGTCATAATGACATTATGACATTGTAGGGCCTGTGACTTGAGATGGACATAATAAACATATTCTAATCCAAGAGCAATTAGTTCTGTTGCCTTACTCAGATTAAAAGAAAATAAAGTTCTGAAAGGTTTAAGTAACTCAACAATACATTCTAGTTTTCTTGATTTGTTTATTGTGTTTATAGAAAGTTCAAGAAAAGTCACCTTTGACTTTTTAAGAGACCCTGAGATTTCAGATGGTCTCTGTGGGCAAAAGTGAGTTTATTTGCTTTTTTTTTTTTTTTAAGACTGAATTATGCCAGTGAGCAAAACACATTTCACAAAGAACACCTATCTTTCTGTCTATCTCCAGAATGCTCACCTATCTTTCTGTCTATCTCCAGAATGCTCTCCTGGGGGCCACAGGTTTCTTCAGAGTCCTTACAGAAGTATCCATTTTGACTCGATGCACCTCCAGCAGTCTGCTGCTCAAGAGATGATATGTGATCATTCCCTTTCTTCTGGATGGTATCGATTTCTCCTCTTTGACAGACCTGCTGAGATGCCAACTAAATGTGTTGAGGTACTTCAGTTCACACCTCTTATGTGCATTTTCATATAAGGATTGAGTCTTATTATTTACAATTTATTTCCTATGCTGAAATGTTAGTTTAATTATTAGCTTGAGGTAATTTGAAGGCATAGCCTAGTGTAAAGATAATAGTAATGGTAATGATGTTGTGCTCCATGCAGTCTGCAATATCTTAAATAATTTTCATAACTCCAGGTTACAATCTACCAGTAATTATTTTTTTTCATCAAACTATTTAGGACACAGATATTCTCATGCATAATCCTTCGAGAGTCACCTAGTTAACAGTTTCCAGTTCAAAGCCAAACTTTGAACATAGGCAGTCAGTCAGTCTATAGGGCTCCTCTGCTTAACCACAGGTAACCTGCAAACAGTAAATTTTGTATGTTTTTGTGCTTTGGTTTGACTCTGCTGGCTTGAAATTAATAAGCTTACTACCTCCTATTTCAAACTGAAGAGAACCAGCTTGGCAGTGAAATCTCCAAGTATTTCCTGACCCAACATGCAGACAATGCATCTGCAGCAAATTGAATACACAGAGGCCTCTGGCCTCATCCCACTGTGACTTCTTCTGTAAGCCCACAATTGGTGTGTCCAACTTACTTCCTGTATATTCACTTATGAACAGACAAGTATATGTTTTTTAAGCACATCCTGTTTAACTTTGTCTGTTTTTGAACTTTTTTTTACATTCAGTCACACCAGATCTAATTTTCTGCAACTTAACTTTTCACAAAATTTACTGTCTTGAATGCATGATATGATTTTCATCCTGACAGTGTCTTGTTTATGATCTAAGCAAAATGACTTACTTTACAAACTCGTTTTCTTCCAAAATGTCTCAAAGAATAAGCACAAGTAAAATAAACTCCAAAGGCAGGATGTCTTAGGTGTTTTTCAGTCAACTTTCAGTCCTTGTCATGATCTTCCTTGAATTTCCACTGAGAAGTCCAGTTAGTGTAAATTGTGATTTTCAAATGCAAGTTTCCCCTAATTTATCAGTAGTCTCCATTCAGCTGAAGATGCTATTATGATATAGACATCATCTCTACTTGATAATGACACTTTTGACAGTTAGACTTGCAGTTCAACTTTCACTATGCTATCACATTTTAACCACATGATCTAAGGCATGAGACTAAGTCTGAATCTCTTAAAACTGAACTTATTACCCCAACCTCCCCAGTTATAGGATTAAAATGGAAAGGAAGGATTTGAAACTGACATTTATGTTGCAGCTCATGCATTTCTTGCACTGGTGGACATGATCACCTAGGTAACCTCACTTGATCTCCCACTGAGGCTTTGAGGTTACTTTTGTTACTTCATTTTAAAGATGTGCACACAGGCAGAGTCTGAATCACATAACTGAAGTCATTACCTGGGAGAAGGCTGTACAATATTCAGTATCTCCCTCAGCATGAGCCCTTTTCCCTGTCACAAGCCTCCAACAGAGTCCAGGAATAAGCAAGTGTTCAGATGTGATAGGTAACTAAGACAGACTCTCTAATTTTCAAGAAATGCATCCATGTCACACTTGTCAAGTTACTAAAGGTGCTCTCATCACTCATGATTTTCCTATATGTAATTTCACTGCATTAGGTGTGATTTCATTCTTAAAGTTAATTTTTAGTTTGATCTAGAGGACATGAAGCTACTGTTTAACACTTGATGTGAGACCATATCATTCAGGATTATGTCTCAGAAGAATATTTGTTTTGCTTATCAGTATATACACTTTGCAAATTATGCAGAAGCAGAAATTCTTTTTCTGTTTAAGCTGTAATGTAAAAAAACCTCAGAAAAGACACTCATATTTTAAAGACATTTTGACTTATGCCATTGTAGCTAAGTCTCTTTTCTCTTTTTTGCTTATTTGCTTGTCACTTTGTGACATTTAATTTACAAGTAGCTAAAAAGTCAGAATTTAAAAATAACCTTTAAGAAAATTGGATGAACTTCACTACATTCTTAAATATCTGTGGCCTTTTTCTTTGGCTGAAATGATCATTTGTATATCACAGAATCTCACCCAACTGTAAAAACAAAATGGTTTTCCTGTGCCCTGTGGAGAAGAGTTCCTTGTCCCAACCTCTTATTCCCTTTTTGAAACAAGGATTTAGAGCATTCAAGTTAAGACTCAATAGTATTTTATTTTTCCTTACAGGAAAATATAAGTCTATTTAAATAAATTTCTATTTTTGAATTTAAAATAATACATGTGTATTCTAGAATGCTAAGGAAATAAAGAAAGGATAGAAATAGAACAGCGCTTATTCACAATCTATCAACACATTAATAACTATCATTAACATTTGCTTTTCTTTTACATATATTGTTTTGTAGGTCATGCTTTATGTTCAAATGTGTAACATGCTTTTTTTAGTTATAGCATAGGATTAGAATGTTCCATTTATAAAATCTTTACATCAGTTTTAAAGCAATATTCTGTAATAAGAACATACTGTATGCACTTATGTGATTGTCCTATATGTGCACATTGAGAATTTTGCCATAATAATTAATTCTACAATTTTAGCAAATGTACATATAATCTTGTCATCATTTTAGTGTGTTTAGTAAGATTTATTTTTAAATGTAAAATTAATGAAGACTAATGTCTTTTTGAGGCTTTGATATATACAGTTATTTAAAACATAATGTTGATGGGCATGGTGGTACAAGTCTATAATCTCAGAGATCCAGGAGGCTGAGACAGGAGGATCACAAATTCAAAATCAGCCTCAACAACTTATTGAGGTCCTAAGCAACCTAGTGAGACCCTGTCTCAAGATAATGAAAAGTGTTGGGGGTAATGAAAAGCTTAGGGGTAAAGCAACCCTGGGTAAAACCCCCAGCACCTAAATAAAAAATATATAAATATATGAATAAAACATAATGCTAATTTTTAATTCCCACAGAACTAGATAGATATGCCTTTTCCAATACCAAATATTCTAATGCATTAGACATCTGTATTATTTTTTGTGAATTGTGTATTTATGGTCATAGAATTTTTAGATTACATTGCTTCATTTACACTTCACTATAGCACTTTGAATGGGAACTACTATCCCTGCATACAAAAGAGAAGGATGTCTGCAAGGTAGGCGGGCCTGCGACCCACTGGCAGAAGAGGAGCAGCGGCCTGCTGAGAGGCAGAGCCGCCCCCTCCCCCTGCGCCGGCAAGGTAGACAGAACTGTGACCACCCACAGAGCAGGCCCAGCGGCCTGCTGAGGGGCAGAGCCGCCCCCCACCCCCCGCGCCTGCCAGGTAGGCGGAACGGTGACCACCAACAGAAAAGGCCTAGTGGCCCGCGGAGGGACAGAGCTTCCAATCACTCCTGCAAGGTAGGCGGGCCTGCGACCCACCGGCAGAAGAGGAGCAGCGGCCTGCTGAGAGGCAGAGCCGCCCCCTCCCCCCGCGCCT